ACAAACACACGCACATACGCACACTCATACACACACAGGTGCCCCAGTCCGCATTCCAGCACCACCCCCTCTCTCTCCCGCCTGCAGGGTTCAGTTATGTTTACTTCTGCCGTCAATTAAGCTTACTGCCTTATCACAGTCGCTATCTCAGACTTATCACAACGTTTGTCTTCACTTGTCGGGACTGAATCAACACTGCGCACCACATTTGTGCCATGGAGTTGATGCGCACGAGCTGAACTGTCTATTTGATTTACATATTATCTTTCACAGTTTTTAAAAGGAACTCATACAAGAACACGACAGTTACGTAAAGACATTAGGGTGGAATTAAAATCAAGAAAGACACAATGAAATTTGTAGGCTTTCATTACGTACTTTAAAAAAAACTCGTCCTTTTCACTTCGACAACAGCTATCTCTCGTGAAATACCCTTGATCTATAAATTATTGTGTACAGCACAGTAAAATGTTAGGCCTATGTACACATTTTTTCCCTCCACAATATTAATCGCCTGTGGTGTATTCGTTTCCATGCTCCTTAGCTTATAATATTACAAGCCTTCCAACAAGGCATTCCATTATCCTAAAGCTCATAATCAAGGCTTGTGGGAGCTGTCATAAGATACATCAATGTATAATACATTATAAGGCTTCGCTGCAGTTTCAGTTGCAGCGAGACGGTTTCTTTTTTTATACTTGGTGGCGCTTTAAACCTCTCAAGGAGATATAATGTAAGCTTACATGCTTAGAATCTCATTACTGTACTGAGCACTGCCCAGCACGTCATTTGTCAAGTCTTTAAAAAAAAATTTTTTAATCCACAAGCACTCGAGATAGAAAGGTTTTTGAAGCACAGTCATTACATATTTACAGCCTGTGTTACGAGGGAGCGGATATGCAGTCGGTCTCATACGCTCTTCAATATTAAAAGGTAACTTGATAACAATATCATTTACAGAAAATAGTTTTCCCCCCACAAAAAAACAGCGAAAAAAGACATGAGTAAAAAAAACTATAAACCTTGTATGTATATATATACATAATATCGTATGTATGTATGTAGAATACTTTAAAGAAAATGGTCATGTGGGTAAACAACACTCAGTACAAGTTTGTAGAATGGTGCAGATGTCTTATTCAACACAAGATCCTGGGCACAGAAAATGCCACCAAAGTATTAAAACTGAAACGTCTCCATTTGTTTTCTTGCCCTAAACAGTGGTTACTCCAGAGGAAATCAAAATGAAAAAATGAATCTCCTAAAAGCTGTTATTTGAAGAATCACGAAATTCCGAATCGCATGATAATGAAACAAACACAAATAATGGTTATTCCATAAAAGGGATCAGAAGTCCTGCTTCTTCTAAACATCCACAGCACAATTATATCATTCTGTCTCTGAACAAAGATAATTGCACTTTCTGACCTCACGGGGCACGAGCGTTGTTGATTGGTTGGATTTCTGATGTTTTGTTTTGTTTTCTTCTCCTTACATCATATGACGTCATTCTACTACAGCCATAGTTAGCTTTGTCAACAAACACGTACTTGAAACCTATAGATCTACTACAGAAGTCAGCGCTATCTTGACGTGCGTAAGCCTGTACCGTTATCTTTCTACATGTGGTTGAGATCATACCTTCAAAGTCGTTATGTGTTATATACAAGCAGACAGATACAAGCTTTATTTTGAGTAGAGAGAATCACTCTGAATACGGACAACCATTTAGAACAGGAACCATGGACACAATAGACAGACAA